CAGATGTGCGTAAGAGTTGGCACCGCGATCCTAAGTAGTACTTGGCCGGGGAACCAGCGGGCAAAATTGTCAGAGCTTGCATGGCTGCCGAGCTGAAATACCCGGACATACGCACACACATACACGCACACAGACACACACAGACACACACAGACATACACACGCACACCCTGTGCTGTAGCCTAACATTTGGGCTCATGTTGGTTGCGCCCTGGCCTCTTTCGGCATGCAGGAGAAAGGGCGTCGATTGGGATGAAGGTATTGCGTTATAGGACCGTATGGACCTCGAGGTGCATGACTATCAGTTTTTTACATGAAACCGGTAGTTTTTTCGGTAAGTGCTGGCTTTTTAAAAAAATACAAATTTCCAGTTCAATAAAAGGTGGAAATGTTGCTAGAGCAGTCGTTCGTCAAAAAAAAAAATGCAGATAAACTGAATGTTCATTTACATACTTGGATGAAGGCGATCGTTCGCCCCAAGACGCACTCGTTTCTGATTTTTCAGTAAAATTGAGTATTTTTCATGCCCACGTGCAAGGAATTTCACTTCCAAGCAGAATTAAGATTGCACTTGAAAGCAGAATATCCCAGCGAAGTTTCAGCCTCGCACATTATCCGGTAAGCGAAATAGCCACTTCGCTACAAATGTTTGAAGTGCCCCAAGACGTGACACATGTGTAAGTCGGTACTCATTTTAGGTACACGATTTCCCATATGGCCTATAAACATGCTGGCAAAATTTCAGCCACTGACTTGTTTTCGAATTGGCACAGTACCAAGTTGCAAAATTTGACGTGATCGTACATGCTGCACAAGTGTATGCGACAGCTGATTTTGGAACTTTCAGCTCGCAAATGCACAAAGAATATTCCTGCAAAGTTTCAGCTCTGTATGTTGCCTGGTTCACGAAATCGTTTCTCGCCAAAGAAATCTGCATATTTTTTTCGAAGGTCTAGGGGAGTGTGTGCAAAAATTTTAAAACGGGAGGATGATACAGGGTATAGAACATACACCCAAAATTTTAACCTTTAATCTTTCCTGGTTACTGAGATGAAAGTGGGTGAAAAAATTCACTCGCTTCCAAACACACACACACACACTAACGACTTCTCGACAGCATGAATTTTTGCTGGTTGCAGCAGCGCTATAGCGCTGCACAGCAAAAATGCATGAAAATGACTTTGAGGTTCAAGTATTGCCTGTAGCTTTCACTATGTTCGATTTCGCTTGTACAGCAATTCGTTTTTCAGTGGTAATAGTCCGCAGGTCACAAAAATTTTCGGAATCATTTCGCAAGAAGGAGCCTAATCGTAAGCTGTCAAGCGCTCGAATGCCATTGTGGAAATTGGCTGTCAATGGAATTACATTTGCTGTATTTAATTCATTCTACGCTTGCTTTGCTCTATTTATGTTAGGGCAACATAAATGCTATTTCCAGCTGCATTTTGGAAGAATGATGCGCGTTATTGGCCTTACACGGTTAGCTCTACTCTTGATTAACCTTCCAGATTATTTTCCCCCACACCATGAAAAAAAGGCGCGAAAATTCCAAAAAACAAACGTAAATACCATCAGATGATACACATTTGGTCACAGCAACATGCAGAGGTTAGTGGCTGCATCACTGTCCGGCCATGAAGTAACAGCTGCCCAAAGCAGTAAAAGTAATGTAGACGAATTGGAGAATGGGGAAGAATGTAGTTTTATAGAGGCTATGCACAGCTTCAATCAATGCTGTTTTAACACCCCGAATATTTTTTCAAGGGCATGAAATTTTGGCGAAAAACCATAGTTTTACGCAGTACATCAATAATCAATATAAAATTTTAAGCTGTTAAGACCGTTCAAGTAATCTTTATAGGAATTTATCATCAGAAATGTTAGCTGGATGCAGTCACACATCGAGCATAGCTAAGGCTGGGCCTTCGATCTTGTGTTGCATGCCAGCCGTTTTTCCGTTTAGGTGCGCTACTTCTTCGGAAAACACCCAAGTGATCGTTCGCTTTCTTGTGGATGGTACTTACTGATATTCGCCGTCTAACTGTTTGTCAGCAAGGCTGCCATTTTCTGCTCAGCGAAATTTACTTTTTGGTTAGGCCCGAAAAAAAACCTACATGCGGCTTGTCTAATGTCTGACTGCTGATATGGTCATGAAGCGAAACATCAGGCATCCCTCGTTACACTACTCTCTCTGTCGTAACCAGTATCCTAGGAACGTCTGGTGCTTTCCATTTAACATTTTGTGGACATGGATAGTGGTGTGAAATTTGTGCCAACCAGCAGTCCTTCTGCCTGTAATCTGCTGATGACTGTGGCACTCATTTATTTTTTGTCCAGGATATGCGCTGCCAACTTTTCGTCTGTAAAATTTTCAGCTTCCTAAGTTGCTGATTGAAAGCTAGCTCTGCACCTATATGAGCTAAAGATTTTAAATTCACTTGAGCGCAAGTATAAATCATGTGTACAGACATGTCGAGGCCGCGATTTCGCAAGAGCCGACAAAATGCCAACTCTGGAACTAGTCCTAGTTAGTAGGTCCTTTTAATTTTACGAGAGTATTTTATATCTATCTGTGAGTCAGTAAACTTTAAATGAGCATTAACGTACGCCTGTATCACATGCACGGATATAACAGAAAAGCGATTTTGGGAGCCAGTTGAGACAGGGAGATGAAAATTTTCGAGAAATTGACGATGTGTGGGAATTCAGATCATCTCACTACAGCATGAAATCGTGCAAAAACCCATGACCATGCCGGAGAGCGTGATGCGCGCCGCAATTAATTATATCATAGTGGAATGAAACAGTTATATGAAGAGGCTATAATTTCTCAAATTATTACAGGCACTTTAGAACATAAAGGCTTTTCTAAATCAAAAGCTTACTTTAAAATCGAACATACAGCGAATGTAATAACGAATGATAGCGATGCACAGGTATTGCAGATCTTGATAGGTGCTGACTGAGATATTTCAGGCTAGCTTTGCTAATGAGGATACTCCTGGATGTACTGATCAGTTTCACGATTGATTATCAGGTATGCCATTCCCAAAAAACCATCCTTCAAATCCGTTTATTTTTATCTCTCAGTGGTCGCGGTTTTGCGATGCCTAAGTGCTCCATCTCTTCGAGAGCCGTCTGAGTGATTGTTTGCTTCTCATGACACCGCTCATTAAGACGCAGTGTTCTTGAAATATATTTAATTAAAAATAAAGCTCGAAGACGCTTCGTTCAGATGAGATTATGCTAGATTATTTGGCTAGCTGGGTGCAGTATCAATTTAGCGTCAGTTGCGCTTGATTAGTACGAAACGAAATCCCTCTGCGATTAATTCGTTTGTTTTGATTGTAAACTAGAGGTGCCCTATGAAGGAGCTAGAAATGTCGTCAGCTTGCTTTTGTGCAGCTCTCTCACTCAAGAACAGGCTACTGACAGCTTGCACTGATGGTTGCGGTACCATATTATCACTCGAACAATTTTCGACTGCATCCATCTCTCATGAAGAATGAGAATTCCATTATTCTTTATTAACCCTGTCTAAATAATAAAACTATAACTCACTACTTCCGAAGATAATTGATGTGGCCTGGGCAGTAAGTGAGCGACACTCTGCGAAAAATTTTGCTAGCCTCGAGCTAATAGGGCATACTACGCCTTTTGTTGCAAAGTAGTAAGAGCAGCAGGCGTAACTGCATGGCCACACAAACAGTATCGATGCATGGCAGCGACCTGATGTCAAGCAATCATTCAAAACATATTTGTCAATTTGTCAGATTTGTGAAATGGTTTTAGATTCGCTTGGAACTGCTCGGTTACTTTGGTCTGGAAGGCATCGAACCCTCTGAAACACAATCATCTCAGCGCGTTGGTCCAGCTGAACGCACACAGAGCGAAGAACTAACCTCCGACCCGGTCACCAGACGCTCGGGCCAGTGGCGAAGTGCCAGTTGCATGGCGCATATATCCACTCAGACTGACAAGGACAAAAAAAAGAACAACAATTCCAGCTCCAATAACAATACCTCCAATGACGGATGAAATTTTGGGCGGATTTTAGCAAAGTGTGAGTATGACACCAAGGAGTGTGAATCATACCAAATTACGTGCCGGTGCAAAAACTCGTATGAACTGTGCTCAAGGCGTCATCGGCAGCTTTGCCAACTGGTGGTTGTTGTACTAGCGCCACTCGAGTCAATTTCTATCGCCTCTGCCCTTCGTAGAGAATGGAATACGGAAAGGATGTATGTTCTTGTCGCCAAAAGGCGCCACTGAACGCACGAAAAATGTCGTAAAGCATAATAACACATAGTGAACTGTTAATTATGTCAGAGTGCATGGTGCCAAGTTGAACGATGCAGCACAGTAAGGCATGAAGTGGGATCGTTGGATAATATCATTTAATCTCATCGCATTCAAAACGTACTTTTGCCTCCCTTGCCGTTATCTCTTCCGTTACTGTAGAAAGGAATACTTGCAAAAAAGGCCAGATTCTCATAAAAATCAAAGTAATTGTATGTTGATTTCTTTTCAGATTCGTTCGTGCAGATTTTAAAATAAGGCTTCACATGTTGACTTTAGTTTTTTTTTTTTTTTTGAATTATCATTTTTTATGTATAATTATCTTGTTATGACGAAATACAAGGTGGATTTAAAAAACATACAAATCGGCTTGCATTTTTTGAAACCTAAAGGGCCAGTTAAGGCGATGAGAACTTAACAACTAAATTTCACAATTTGCACAGTAATAAAAATTGTTAGCTGTAGTTTTAGAATCCGACTGCAACTTATCACTCAAACTAATAAGCCTCTAGTGAATCTTCCAGAAGTATTTCAAATCTCCCGTGATTCATAAAATTCGCACAAGCAAGTTGCTACTATTACAAAATGTTTAAAAGTTAAGCGAGCGGTTCAGCAGTCCTTTTGCAAATTACGAGAATTACTAATTGACTGTTTGCTTTGTTTAAACGATATGAAAAAGCTCTGTACGACGATTAAATTATTAACGATAAAATGAAAAACATGTGTCAGCTCCAAAACACTTAACAACACAGAGTATATGCAAAGTAATATTGGTATTTTGATTTGATCAGACGTTTTATCGTCACATTTCTTCTCGTCACTGAGCAGCTGGTAACTCATCCATTTTAGGCTTAGCTGATTTAGATGATCATGTGTAGGAGGATTTTCCTCGGCTGGCAGCCTTATCTGCATACCTTTAGGAAAATAATCGCATTGTCCATCTGTCCCTAGCTTAAATTGCCTTGATGATATCGCTAACGCCAGACCTGGACCGCAACGATTCGCTGGAGATGTGCTGCAATCTGCTAACGTCTCTTCAAAGCCCGCTAAATCACCATCATCATTTTCTCTCCAGCGAACGTGATATTCTGTGTTCCACTTGCAGCAACAAAACTGAAAGCAGTGGAAATGCCCGGGGTTCACTGGCAGGAAACAATATCCTAAAATTTCAGCTCTCTGTCTCATCTAGTTGCCGAGTTGGAAATTTTTCCTGCTAAACCTTTACACGCTTGCACGTAACAAATAGGTGTAATTGGGAGCGGAATTTTAATTTTCCGAGTCACAAATGGATATGAAGGATCCTCTTGAAAAAATTAAGCTTTTTATTATGCATTTTGTGCTGCAGCAGTTGCACGAGAAGTAAACTGTCGAGATCCTCCCTATTTATGTGTTTATGTGTCCCGTGTGCGTTTTGTCCAGGATTTCCGACGTGGAAACAGGAAACGCTAGAAGGCTAAAATTCTAGGAATTTCTCCCCTACTTTTGTATGACCCAGTAAACTAAAGTTCAGTTCTCATGGTCTCCCACGTCTAATTTACAGATACGTGGAATTTTAAATTACTAACTCAAGCAGAAAAAAAGCTGGAAGGCTGAAATTTCAGGAGAATGTTCCCTACCAGGTGTGTTTCAGCTTAGTTGAACTCAGCTCCCACGTATGACTAGATCTCATGTGCGAACAAGTGTGAATTTCGATGCGAAATTTTTGATCTCGGACACCAACAAGATGGAAAGACAAAAATCTGTTATGATCTTTCTTTTCAGCTTACAACACAGGAACTTCAAATTCTGTTTTCATGTGCACTTATATCTCAAGCAAGAACGCGTGAAATTTTGTGTGGAAATAGTTCGGAAACAAGATCTGGTATATATCATTATCAATTTTTTATCGAAATGAATGAAAACGAGTCAAAAAGATTGGTCTTCCTGTCGGCAGAGTCGGACCTTCAATCTACTGCAAAACGGCAGTGTTACCTCAATGTGCCACGCCTGCCAGCAATAAGCAGTATTCAGAACGGCTTAAGCAAAAAAAACTAGATAGCAGGACGTATTTGTCGGAGTGATAAAGCTAATAGTAATTTAAGCAAGCACAGCGAACAAAAAGAGAGAGTATGTTGAGCGTGAAAATGTGTAACTTAATAAGTTTTCTGTATCAGCTCTTCAAAACTGGCTCTTGCGAAGTAGTACACTGGCTTGCAAAATACGCATGTTTGTAAACATTTTTATCATTTATTTATTCTCCTGTCATAATCTGTTCAGGAACAGTTTCTCAGCTAGACTATGGCCACAAAGTAACTGCTAACCTCGGCGGCCCCACTTAAGTGGAAACGTTAAAGGAAGCGGTGAGTAAAAGCGCTAAAGGAGGGGAAGCGGATTGATGAATTGGAGAAAACGAGACGAATGGATGTGAGAACAGAAGAAATAAGGCCTCAATTTGCCATCACTATCATTCTAATCACCATGGAATCAGCTAATTACATCCATTTTCGGAGAAATACCTGTGCTATTGGTGTAAATATTAATTTTGCTTCAACTGCATCAACAGTGCTGTGATTTTTCGAGAGGCAACTAGTTGTTGGTTGCAGTTTTGTCCTGAGTCTACCTGTATCCCGTGTATCGCCGCAGGTCTTCCTGTAAGTGCGTAACCTGTCTATAGGAAGTGAACAAACGATCGTTTTCACTGTCATATTACTTGGTGCATAACATCTGTCGATTATCAGCGATATCGTATCCGTGATATTTCAGTTCCTTTCTTTTACTCCGCTACCCTAAAGGCGATCTAACTGAATGAGTTTGTTTTCCTGCATTGTTGATTCTCAAACTGTGTGCTTTATAAAAAATCTCGCAGTCACTTCACGCTCATATTCCATTACGGGATAAAAGCAGCGAGTGGGGCAGCGCACGGACAACAATAGTCACTCGCTGACAGGACTGTCGACGACCCCTACTTCGGTAGATGTGTAACAAAGCAGTTTTATCTCATATCTGGAATGCTTGTTCTATGTTTCAGCAATTAACTGCGACGATTGCATAGGCACTAGAAGCTGCCTTCGAGTTAGTTAAAACGTTGCTATGCCACAAATTTTTTATATACGCAGTGCTTGCTTCGCGAATTTCACGCCTTATCAGAAAACTGAATTCGAGGTATATCATATCCATTTGATTTCTCACCTTTCCCCATTAGTTATCAGTTCTTTGCTTACCCTCTGACTGACTGTTAGAACTGGCAAAAGGAAGAAATGCCACTATGTGACTTTAATTAAACATTCACATGCCTACTGAAGCATGAAAGGAGTTTTGACTTTAATCTGACAAACTGTAAAGCTAAAGTCTGCGTTTCCCACGCTCGTTTCATTACTGAATTCTGAATCG